AGTCCATATCAGAATAGTTCATTGTTATAAAATTCCGCTTTGCAATTTACTTAGATTTGAATTATTTTGAGAATGAAATTCGTAGGGAAATCGAGAAATATCTAAAAACCCACTTCCCGGCAGTCGAAATGAATCATGAATTTATACAGTATTGAAAACAACATATAAGTATGTCTTAATCCTTGTCGATGTATAAATATAAATTATTTTTATTGTCGCCGGCGATTACAAATACATCCATTTCTGTATGAAATAAAAATGTCATGAAAACGCGTAAGTAATGTTCGAATATATAAAAAAGAAGGTCAAATGTCAAAAAGTTTCCATGATTTTTGAAGAAAAGTTGGCCTGAGAACAACTTTAAAATAGTAATACCCTAATAAAAACAACAACAACGGAGCACAAACAGGAACAATGTAACAAAACGATACATATATAGACTTCGCGTCTGATGAAACAATAAATAAAAGATTTTATACGACTCGATCGTTTTAGTTTATATATCGTAATTCAGTTTGTAATACACTGATACAATTTGACCAATATTCCGAGCCGTAATTTCACTCAAAAAAAAGATTCGGAGGTATCATTTCTCCGCAAAGTCACAAATAATTGAAATGAAAAACGTGTTGCAAACGGGTGTTGAATTTAAAAAAGATTTTTTGGGATATCGAATTTGTATATTTCGGATGAAATAACGGTATGTCGCGAAATACTTGTGGATCGGAGATGAATTTGGTATAAAATATAGCTCGATTGAAACGATCATACTTGACATAGTATTGGGGAGACGTGCAAAATTACGGGAGTCTAATATTGCCGGGTTTACGTATAAAGTACCGGGAAAATGAACTAAATTTAATCCGCAAAAAGTGTTGTATTTCGTTACTTGAGAAGATTTGAACATGGCGCAAAATGACTCTAATGTGATTTTGACATTTGGTTTACTCGTATAGCTCTGCTTGCCATCTTGTTTGACGTTCTTATGTCTGTACCTGTCATCGGGAATTCGAAAAATAGATTGCAATCGCCTAAAGCTTCGACTGATTTGATTTATCGAGCGGAGAATTACTGAGGATACATCCATACTTTTAGGACACTACCTGGCAAAAAAAAACGAGTCCACTCTCTAGGTCAGAAGAAAACGTTTCTTTTTCGTACCGAAGTAGTTATTACATCAGAAATAAGTTAGTTGAATACACAGAGTTTAGCATCATGACTGGCTTCAATGTTCTGTTCCTACAAAAATTTTAATCGTGTTTAAAAAATAAATTGTTTGCTAAATCCGAACCATATAAACCCCAAAGTTGGGACAATTTCGGAAGTACCTCTAAGAATAAATATTTAAAATACGCAAATTTTATAACAAAAGGCATTTAGTGTTTCTATTTTTAATTGCGGTGTTGTGAGTATGTGTTCCTTCAAATATTATCTCACTTTGATCTGACTTGTAAATTTGAAAATTTGTTTATGGTTTCGAGATATGTTTCTATGAACAGTATACAAGCCTCAATACACTGATATAATTTCATAAAGCATTCTGGCAAGCCTGGTCAAGTGCAGGATGCGAACTATTGCTTTGGTTAACCAATAAGGCACGATACACGCTAATCCAAGATGAAATATGTGATATGAATATACTGAAAACAATACGTTTCCAGATTACTTACCGGCAACATACGATCATGTCACGTACGTACTTAAATGCACCTATGCTACATTTGGCCTATGTTAAATGGCTTAGCAATGTTTGGCATATGGGATAGAAAGATATCGTAATAGGTCATGTTAGGCTGTCAATCTAAGAGAAGAAAAATTGATAATGGAACTGTTACCTTAGGCAACATTGCTAGCTTATATATGTGGACAAAACGAATATGAAAAATATGTTGCAAGAAAAGAATCGGAATATTATTAGCCCATGTCCGATATTCTATTTGGACTACAATTTGTTTCGTTTGTAAACAAGTGTTCATATTTATGTGATTTACACGAACTTCAAAAATCACGAATTCTACTTTTCGAGAATTTGTAAAAAATCATCAATTTGGCAATTGCTTCAATAAATGGAATAGATATGATATCGATTTTTATTCGAATACAACCAATGTATATCACAACGAAAAATCTCGAAAAAAAAACTGTCAAAATCGCAAACGGGCTTCCTAGTTTGGGACTCTATCTAGCTTAACACAACACTTAATTCTTACAGTAATTAGTGTAACATACTTTTTCATATAGCACGAGAAACGTACGTCAAACAGCTATTCAGAACTGTCAATCTATTATACAAGATAACTACTTCAAAAGTTGTTTTCGACTAACAATAATCTTTATTGCGGATGGATCGACCACACTGCTGTAATAGACTTTGTTCCATGTCTATCATTAGATAAGCCGATTGTCGGAGCAAAATTTATTACGAAAATCCGATCTTAAAAACCAAACAAGAGCAATATACTTCACTAGTTTTAATTAACTGAAATGCGTTTTATGAAGTTGTATTTTATTTGTCAAAAAAAACCGACATTGCCATATCATCAGAATTTTACCAGTTATGGATATCCTTACAAGGAGAATAAATCAGTATTGACATTTTTGATAAAACTCGAATAAGTTGAATTAAACACTTTTCCATATAGATTATGTAATTAAGATTTGATCGCCCAAGGATGGGCCAAAACTTCCAAGCAGCAACTGAAAGAGCGAATGGTTTTCTTATATTGAATTCATAAAATTATTATATCGTGTCCGGGAATATGTATGTTACTTGTGTTACCAATACTGATTCGAACATTTAAAAAGCTTTTACATGGTTTCAAAATAGGAGACGTCACACGACTCTTGTTTATTACCGGTATTGGGTTTCATTACAACCACTTAGAGATACAATTAGTACTTTTTCTTCTGTTAAAACAGAGAAAAAAAATTAAAGAAGGGTCGACTATGGCCCTATGAATAAATGGGAAAACTATATACATTCAAGTAATTTTCCATGCTTGGAGAGAGTTCGAACTATCAGCGCCCATTGAACAATGAAACTTGTTTTGAGCTAATTAGCTCAACCGCAACTATTCGGATTAAAGATCATGGTATTAGTGCTATCAGATGTATAGGATGTAGAAATTGCGAAATTAATTGTGTATCGGTATGCTTTCTTACAGTTCTGTGTGCACTGAGGTTGAAATTTGAGATTTAATACCGGTAGATAAATACGATGAACTCGCTTTGCGAGGAATTTTTACATGGAATTTCAACAACTACAAGTACGCAATCTGATACTAATATGAAGTGATCAGCTATGTTTGGTAAAGGCAGAATATTATTAAAATTCTGGCTTGAAACATGCCCATGTTTTCACATATGAGTAATATGCTCTATTAAATTTATTTTAGTCACCGCGCTCACCAAATGACGATTATACAAACCCAAATATTATGGAAGAATGCTGAATTCCATATAATTTGGCTTTAACATTTTCAATAGTTTGAATTGTCACTAAAGAACAGTTAAAATGATGGAAATATTAACATTATATGAAAATGATAGGATAAAACATAAGAATTCACGAAAGCTGTTCTGGATTAGATAATGTCCAATTTTGACGTTGATGTAAATTGAATCTACTCGATAAAAAGCGCGTCAAATTGAAGATAAGCACAACCGGACAGGAAGTCGGGACTAATTATAGCTAATTTTTGTATATACACCATCAAGGCGAGACATCAATGAACAAAAAAATCTACAACCTATTTAGCGTTGAAAAATAGGGATTTACACATATTTCTATTGTAACTTGTTATAACTTATAACCAAGACATCAATGACAAAAAATCTACAACCTATTTAGCATTGAAAATAGGATTTACACATTTCTATGTTAACTGTTAACTTAACCAAAAAAACTTGATTTTATTTCCTATAGAAGAGATGAGTGATACCCTCGCTTGGTTTTCAATAACAAAGAAAGTATGTTAAACGGTAGGAATTTTGTCCAATAAAATTTCCAACCTATTTGACGAGTGAGCAGTTCAAAACGTTCAAGATTTCAAACAATTACATTATAAGTTGTACTTCAGCAGCCATTAAAAGCATGTTTTGAGTAGGCGATAGTGTTTTGTTGTTTTCTTATGCGAATAGATAAACATGTTGACAGGTGGGATAGGGAAGATTGATGGGTTATGCAAATGCTATTAACCGTTTTAACGTTATCAGATGAAAACATCTATTGTTGAAATGTTTCTGAGTAATTTTCCCAATAATAGTGTTTTATTGTAAAAGTAATTCTGTTAAAAACTATTACCGTAACTACAACTTTAAAATAAAACATCATATACCAAATACGGAAGCAAATAATATTGAAGATACAACGTTGCAATATCGACAACTGCTATTGATAGTTTCAAAGTTATTAAATAATATTAGAAAATGTTTCCTAGTGTTTCCTCAATAAGTGTTTTTGTTGAAAACTACTATCTACAACTTTTATGAAACACCCATTAAATATGGAGAAAAAAACTTTGAAGATAAAACGTTGCAACATCGGTTCCGAATTCCGATCAACATAATATTTTGTTTCAATTTGGTCGCACTTATTAGAACTATAAAACACGCGATCAGTACTAATAAACCATACCAATTACAGGAGAAAATAATTTCAAAGATAAACGCTGCAATATCGAATTTCAGTAACATAAGAATTTTATGTTTCCATAACGATCAATATTATACAAGTCAAAAGAACTGAAGAGAGGTCAAATAAGTTTACCAAAGACAAACAGTCCGTCTGGTTTCCGAGAACAGTTGACTAATTATAGACAAAACAGTTGTAAACAAATATTGCGGCGAATAAACTACTTGAGTATTCGGTAGTTTACATGAAATAATTATGTTCACATGTATAATACATATCTCAATATAAACATTTTAAAATAAGATTATATGCATATTTAACATATATTTTGGATTTATATTTGACCTATAAATAAAAAAAATAATACCTGATCCCAACGAGTCCACTTGAGGCAGGCTGCAGAAGAGTAGAGCAGTGATTACGCACATTGTTGTCAAGGCAACGACAGATTTGATTTTGGGAGTGGTTTGTTGCGTCATAATGGCGTCCTCTTGAAAAACGCAGTATCGTTTGCAGAAATAATCCACCGGGAAAAGCTGGAAAGCTGACAGAATCTCCCTAGTGCAGTGAAGCTTGTCTTTTCGTCTCATTTATTTAACATTTCAGGACAAAGCGAAGGTATGTAAAGCAGTTAGCTATATGCAGGCTACAGCGGAAAGAATTTACCACAACTAAGGGTTCTATATCTGTAAAAATATTCAACGAATGCGTTTGAGTTACGGTGTAAATGTCAAGGATTGCATCATCTGTTGAAGGAATGCAGCATAAGCGAATGGGATATTAATCGGTTCCGCGGTTCGTCGGCACAAGGGGATATATAGGGTTCTCTGTAATGCGTAGAATGCCTTTGAAGGTGCAATATACAAACGGAAAATGATCATTTGCACGTTTATGGTTTTGATGAGTACTTTGATTATGTATAATTTAAAAAATGGAATTGTACCAAAACGTTAAGATAGTGGATATGATCATATCGGCAATGTATCTGAAAACAAAACGGTACTTCCTGCCTTGTTATTGCCACTTATTTTCTAATCTGTTTTATTTAATTCTACTTAGACCAGGATAAGGACTTAACTGTTTATCATATGAGCATTTATAACTTATCCCAACCAGAGATGAACAGAATTAAAGAAAACAGTTCATCCAAGTTGTGTTTGGGCTCTTAGGCAATTTTATTATATTGCAGGACAAATATTAAAATTTATTTGATAAAAATCTTGAACTTGCATACGACGAGGATTCTTCCAAGATTGAAGTATTTCGATTAGTTTTACATTTTTATATAACCAACAACCATTCGGAAACAATCGGAAATTGATGCTTAGTCTTTGTGACGAAATTTTAAATATTGTTACATAAACAATCAACCACAAATATAAACAAAGGCAGAAGTCAATTTCCACACCAGAGTATCTTAGCTGGTGGCAAGCAGGTGCACCAATTACCAATGACGCCCCGGGCAATAGAGTACACTACAGGTGGACGACGGTGGGGAATTGTCAAAAGTGACAAGCCCTTTACATATTATAGTGGCTGCTTTACAAATGACGGCAAATACATATTAATGATTTGGCTATGTATGATTGACTGGATTATAAACAGAAGTCCTAATGAGAAAAAGACTCAAGTGCTGTAACATCTGCAACAAAACTCAAAATCTCTTATATTTGATAATAATAAACAATGTTAAGCTCAATTATATACATTTCGATTCACATGCACTACAAAGATGCGTTATGAACATTCGAATTAACTCTTCCGGTGACTATCATGACGATGAAAGTGAAAGTATAAAAATAGCGAAAATACGAGATCCAAATCTTTTGAATGTGACACCAAAATCACCAAATCATTGTAATATAATATTTCTATCTATGTCGAAGTTATATTTTTATAACATCTCATACCTCGACGTTTCATGCAATTCAGAAACAACCGAAATCAGAATAAATACTCTCAACAACAACATGCAATAATTGACCTGCGTATCCTAAATCTTTAAAGTTTTTTTTCAAATATTATTGTTTATTGAATTTAAAATTAATTCTATCATTACGATATTAAGGCTTGTTTATGGATATACATACTCCGAAAAACAGTGGTAATGTATACATCTGTAAATATGTGCAAAGCTATTTTTTGAGTCAATTAGTTGAATCTATTTTTGAACGATGAAACCAATATTCGAATTGGTTCATATACATATATAATAAATATATCAACTCGAAAAAACGAAAGTCGAAATCAATTCCAAAAATATGCGTGAGAATATTCTTGAAAGTTAATTATTCACAACTGTTTTTGCTGAGTGAAACCAAAATGTATAAATTCGATATGACATAAATGAAGATTTCTTATAATATTGGATTGAGTTTAATTTATTTTTGGCGACTTCCCTTCACGAGACTCTGCGGTATAGAGACAGACCGATAAAATAACATTTTAGACATGAAATTTTCTTGTCGCGCGTCACGATAACCTGTCCTAAATTTAATCCAAATCGAAAGTATTTTTCATTTCATTTACTGGTCTCAGTTGACGATATGACGAACTCGCTGATTGGCACAAAATATCCACAAGCTTTGATCTTATACTACATGAATCATCTTTATATTTTCATGCCGCAAAAATTCCACATAAAAGTGCGTCTCCGATTTCAAAGTATGATGACGGTCAACATTAATGACATTATCAAACAATGAAACGGGATAGCTCGGTCCTGTGATCTGGCAATGCGGGAAGAGAATTATTATCATGGTAATTCCCTTTATGGCCTACAGAGCCGGGATAAAAAGCGGGAAATTGCATTTGTGAGACACGAAATGCGCCCCGGGACGAGTAATATCTCCTTGCCGTTTGAAGTCGTGACTATGAAGGGGATATAATTAAATTTCCCTTGGCAATTGGGATACTTATTTCGCTATTTAGGTGGTTCTTCAGAGGAGTTATCATCGCATATTTATCCAGACTTCAAACCGATTTTAGTCCACAAATGAAATTATTACTCCATTCCAAATTTGGCCTTTGGCACTGCTTGCTTGGTGGCAAATTATAAGAAATGGTCGCGCTTATGGAGCGTCACCGTCACGGTATTATCGAATTTTACGGTCGTCAACGACTCTACAGAAAATAACTAGCGAGGTTGTTCTGATGGAAATATTTAATTCATAACTATTTAAGTTAGTTTGAACGTATAAATAAACCATTTGACTAGTTTTCGGCAACAAAACAAGATGCCAACGATTGATAACGTTAGTTATATTGAAAACAATCCCGGGTTTAACAACAAAGTTTAAATTTAAATTTGACGAAGTTATCGGGAAAGCTGTAAACACCAAACTATGATACATTTCTGCATATGACCTTTAATCAAGGAAAAGTAGTTATCGCCTATTTTCCTAAGAACGTTATACTTTAAAATAACAAAAGGAGTAGCGATTTTACTACCATTTTAGATAATACTTTTTAATAACTAGTTTCTTCTGAGTTCATCATTCTATTAATACTTGATGTTTCACATTTTCATTCGGAATAAGTAAGCCAGGTTAGGACCACTTATGCTGTAAAAGGATCGTTCCTAATTTTTAAGACAAAACCAGAATATACAAAAAATTGAAATATTCAAGGATATCGATTCAAACAGAAACAAATTCTTTCGCGCTAACTCTGGCCATAAAATTATATAAATTAGAATTTTTCCACATGTAGTTTAACAAAATTTTATGTACAACTATCTTCCAATTCACTCACACTTAAAAGCTATCTGAACTCAACAAAGCGTTTTCGACATTTGCAAAGATATCTCACTGGGTAATGGCGATGGCGTGAAAAGTGATTTAACAGCGGGAAGCTGCAACGAAGCGCTCTATTCTTCCACAAGGCGGAAATCCCTCTGCGAGATTTCAAAAGATTTTTCAACGCTATTTATAATTCTGCATATCAATGAGATCGCCCTCTCTTCTGCCTTTTTCACCGAGATCATTTCGTTTTAAGATCTAACATTGGTGGCGAAATGAATGTTTGAAGAGCGGTGAATGTTTCAACTCTGGAATTAAAAAAGGGAAATAGTACCATCGAAACAGTATATATAAATCAAAATACTTCAGCCAACAATACAATTTCTGGTGACATTTTGTAAATGGTGACAATCAACATCGTGTCGTATCGTTAGGTCGAATTGTGGAGATCGACCGTTTCTAAACCGAACAGCTCGGTGGGTCAGGGTTTACGTCATATTGGAGTTAAAATTACCTGAATTAGGCATATTGATAACGCTACTCGGAAACCTGGAGAATTACCCTCGGATGTGGGGAGAAAACTGTATAGCGCAAACATTAATGAAGCTTCGCGCACTTAAAACTACTTCGTTTTTTGCATCTACCACGAATATCCCATTTCCCGTCTTATTTTCATCTCTACCTAATGGCTGTCTATTGCTGATTATCGAAAACCAACACTGGTTCAAGCGTGTTTCATTGTCTAATATTTTAGCAGTATTTTCTGACCAGTTTACACCCATCGAAAACTGCCATTTTTGCAATTTGCTCTTCTCTGACGTATTCCCCTTGTATCCATATTTTATCATCAATCCTGCGTTACCTATCGCCAGTCGCTAAAATATCAAACGCGTTTTATCGATGTCTAAGCTCGATTGAGTGAGAATTCGGCAATAATTTCCTGCCCTTCCCCACCAAGAGGTATTTTCAACATTAACTTGAAATTAGCATCGTGCGAGAGCGATACTCGTCTCATATTTTATGTATAAGTTGGTAACATAATACCGAGCAACTGAACCAAATGCTACCGCTCCAAGACAGACAGAATTACACCAAACTACTGAATTTGATCACGGTGTGGGTTTTGCAGCTCATTAGGCTTTTTCCGTCCTCTGCGTCAGTGTGTATTCCATCCATGTAGGGTTCAAATGACATGTATTGTTCCAAGTTTCGTTCGGATGTAATTGTAATTACAGATGACTATACTATGCTCATATTTAAATTCATTTAAAGTAACGCTAAATGAAAACGGATCAATGTTTATAGTTTCAATAAAATATACGTTACAGCGTGTACACATATCATGAAAATATTTTATGTTAAGTATAAAACAGTTCACTTCTTGCGTAACGACCCTAATTTGTTACTGACTTATCTAATAATGGGTAAGTTTAGTCTTACACGATCTATAATAAAGTAACCTATTATGCGACCAAGTACAGGAGTAAGAAAATAATTCAAATGTTGAGGCTGAGGGCTTTGCCACAAGAATCCAATCATATTTATAGTTTGGAAATAACTCAAGTTATCAATCATATAACATGAATGGAACTGACAGACAAATGAATATGATTATTTATTTTTACTTTTGACATTAACAAGCCACAGTCACTTGTTGCGGATTCGCACAATTATAACCACTACGCCTTTTTTAATTATTAGGCAAATTATAAACGCACAAGCGGCAAGCACGATATCATAATTCAAAAATCACTCGAAATTGTTTTAGGCAGGAGCAAATACAGCACCTATTCCCATACCTAACCTACACATGGGGCATCGCCCCCAAAACCCAGAATTTCCATGTTTTCAGAAACTTTGTTCTCTATTTCAGCAACAAATCACATTATGTCTTAAAATAAACGATAATTATAAATCCTCAACATGTACAGACGCTATTATA